TTTTTTTTTCCTTCCTCTTCCTTGCCTTGCTTTCTTCATCATCATCAAACACATCATCATCATCATCAAACACATCATCATCAAACACCAAAACCACAGAAAAAAAATATATTTTTTACCCCTGGGTTTGAAGAACCCAGGCGTGGGTTCGAGGGAACCCAGCGCTTGGGTTCCTTCAAACCCAGCGCCTGGGTTCCGGCGTGGGTTGGAACCCAGGCATAACCCCTGGGTTCCTTGGAACCCAACCCGGGCAAGCGTGCTGGGTTCGTAAGGAACCCAGCGCCTGGGTGGGTTCGAAGGAACTCAGGCCTGCTGGGTTCTGAGGAGAAAGAGAAAGGAAAGGGGAAGAAGAAAGGGAAAGGAGAAGGAGAAAGAAAAAGAAAAAAGAAAAAAAAAATTTAATTTTATTTTTCATAATATTTTTTTATATTATTATTTTTTTCACATCATCACTTTTTGACTATATTATCTTCCACATGGATTATTAGATGACATGTCATCGTGTTCCCGTTAGTTAACAATACACGTCACTAGATTTTTAACGGAAGGACCAAATCGGGGTAAAAATGATAAACAGTAGGGATCAAATCAGGGATTTTTTTAGTTCATGAACCAAATCGAGAGTCCGTACAATAGTTCAGGGACCAAAAAGGAGTTTTAACCTACATTTTTTATTGCTGATAAAAAAAATGAAATGTTTTTTCTGTTTTTTTCCAGAAAGAGAAAGAGAAACAAAAATCCTAAAAACCAACCGAAAACTTAGTTGAAGTTCATAGCAACTCCATCTCAAATCAATTAAAAGATCATACTATGAGTGAGTGATTTAGCTAGTGAATGACATCTCATCAAACCTGGGTTCCTCTTCTCCTAAGATATTAATTAAATAAAATTTTCCTTATCCAACCAAAAATATAAGCCACTTCATGACAAAAGTATACTTCAAAAAACCAACAAAAGACTTTGAACTCGATCGCACGATGAACCATAATCGACTTATTTGGGGTTGAAGGAGAAGGGTGATGAGATTGTCAGTTTCTAACCTTGGCACAATATGGGATAACGAGTTCACTGAGTTTTTGTAAACCCCACAATTCGCAATGGTAAAATCGAAGCATCTCTTAAACTTAGAAAAACTAGAGTGTGTGGAAGACTAGACGGGTTTGTAATTGAAATGGTTGTACAATAGTGTGAACATATATATACAGTTGTTATTTGTTGGTTCTAAAAAAGTTCTTATATAAGTCTTATCTGTAAAACCCCGCATCTCGAATCAATATGGGATCTTCGCAATGTTTTCAATCACTCTCATTATCATCTCCCAAGGGAATGTGGTTGTCGTTATTTGTCAAGGCACAAGTTGTACAAGTCACAACACAAGTCTTACCTCACTACCTGAGAATGGTTATTTGGTGCATCTGTGTTTCTTTATATAATTATCTATAGCTTCATCAAAATTGGCTTTGTATTGCAGCTTGACTCCTAGATGCCTGATTAAGCCATTTGCATTTGATTATCTGATTCTTTCTCTTCTTTTTATTTCTATTTTTTGGAGGAAGAATACCTGCTTCTAATTATTAGCTTGGGTACTAACTGAGGTACAGAACGAATCAACTGGTACAAATGAGCCCAATATTAAAGGGAAAGGGAAGGATTAATTTCACAAAAATACTAAGAACACTCACCTAGGACCAATACAAGTGCACTTTGCTCAGAGTAACATTGACTCGTATTTGTAATCACAAGTCCCACTGCATCATTACTTTTATTGCTTTGCAGCATTATTGGCTTGTAACCAGCTAAAATATTATTTAGAGCATTGTTATGTGGTGCATAATTAACTACATAAGAAGCAGTTACTAGCTCTAATTTTCAAAGGTTGACGAAATTAAAGTGCTAAAAATCTAATATTGCTATATATTAATTTGAAAATAGTTTTTCATTAATTAAAAAGAAAATCCTAATTAATACTTGTGATTTCTTTTATAATATTAAAATAAAACCCGTGACTTAAGCTGCAAAGTTTTGCACAATACTATAGGCAAAAAGCTACTTTTAGCCCTTTACCTTATTAGATTTATAGGTTTAGTCCATCACCTTATACTGTGATACTTTTAACCCCTCACCTATTAGAATTAAAGAAAATAACCCTCACTTATAACATTTTGTTAGTTCTGTTAGTTGATTGTTAACTCTATTAGCTGACTATTAACTGGCTGTTAGTGGGTAAAAACCTACTTTCAACTAATAGAGTTAACAATTAATTAATAGAACTATTCTGTTAGTTGACTATTAGTTGACTGTTAGTTGGCAAAAAGCTATTTTCATCTAACAAAGTTAACAGTTAGCTAACAATCAGCTAATAGACTTAATAATCAGTTAGTAAAACTAACGAAATATTATAAAATGAGGGTTTTTTTTCTTCAATTCTAATAGGTGAGGGCTTAAAAGTATCATAATATAAGATTACGAGTTAAAACTTATAAATCTAATAAGGTAAAGGGCTAAGAGTAGGTTTTGCCCAATAACGTACGAGTATCACTTTATAATATTTTGTTATAAAGTGACTGTTAACTGATTATTAACTTTATTAGTTGAAATTAGGTTTTTGCCAACTAACAGTTAACTAATAGTCAGCCAACAGAGTTAACAGCCAGCTTACAGAACTAACAAAATGTTATAAGTGAGGGTTATTTTCTTTAATTCCAATAGATGAGGGGTTAAAAATGTCATAGTATAAGGTGATGAGCTAAGACCTATGAATCTAGTAAGGTAAAGGCTAAAACTAGGCTTTTGCTTTGTTAGCAATAGTGGAGCTTGATGATATTTAACAATTATTGTATTATGATATTAAATAAATATATAGACATTGATTAACTTTTTAGGTACCTGATGAAAAAAATAAAAGGTCAGTTATATAACCATTTATTAAAATTGCAAGCATAGCATTTTGGAATTGATGAATAAGCATTAGGTCTTAATTTTTTGGGGGAAAAAAAAGGAATAAGCATTACATTAGTAAGGATGAAAATTAATGAAACAAGGATATGAGGTTCTTCAACGCTGCCACTTTGTGCTTATAAATATTTTGTTGGTAGAAAGTCCAACCCCATGTGAACACATGGACTTTCCATGTGGTGAAATTTCTTCACCAACCTAGCTAGTCGTGGGCTAGCATTTGCTTTGTTAAAATCATGCAAAATTGCATGTTGACCCATTTAATGGGCAAAAGAAAAATGGTGCATGGGTGGTTGGATTTTTCACTATAAATACCCATGCATGCAAAGGCCATGAGAAAGCATGAGTGAGTGAAAGCAAGAGTGAGAGCAAGCATGAGAAGAGTTAAGTGAGTGGGTGCTCTTGTGAGAGAAATAAAAGAGGGAAATTGTGAGAAAATCCTTAAGAAGATTAAGAGAGAGTATTAGGGAGAATTTGGGAGCTTCTATATATTGAAGCTAGGGTGTTAAGAGTTTCTTGAGTGAGAGAGCTTCTAAATTATTATCCTTTTTTTTCTTAATAGTAGATTTATTTCTCTCTTTCCCGTGGACGTAGACTTCTTGAGAGGTGTACAAGTCGAACTACATTAAATTATTGTCTCAATTTCTTTGTCACTTTTGTTTGCATGGGATTGTGGTGCTCAAAATTCCCAACAAGTGGTATCAGAGCTATTGGTAGAGCTCCTAGTGTTGTGGAGAAATGCAAACTGAAGCCATGAAGTATTCAATTGAGTTGTTTGATGGCAAGAATGACTTTTCTCTATGGCAAACTACTGTGAAGGATGTCCTTACTTATCAAGAACTTGATGCAGCTTTAGAAGAGACCAAGCTGGCTGACATGAAGGGTAGTGATTGGAGTACTATCCAAAAGAAGACAACAAGTCAAATTTGGCTGACGCTTGCACTGGAGGTGAAATGTAACGTCATTTCAGAGACTACACCAATAGGCATGTGGAAGAAGCTTGAAAAGATATATGCTTCAAAATATTTAACCAATTGGATATGTTTAAAGATGGGGCTATATCAATTGAAGATGGCAAAAGGCACTAATATTGACAAGCACTTATTTGGTTTCAACATGATGGTGACACAAGTAGTGAATGCTGGGGATATTCTAGAAAAAGAAGAGAAAGCTTTGCTTTTACTTACATCCTTGCCGAAGTCTTATAAGTCCCTAGTGTAGAACACATAGTTGTCCGTACTGTTTCATACCAGTTGTACCAGTTTTGTAAGTTGACTGAAACGATATGGATTTGAATTTCGTTTCGGTCAAATGTCAGATATTTCGGTCAAATTTCAATGTATCGGTTGAAATTTAGTGTATCGGTCGGTTCACCGAAATTGAATCAACACAATTCAAATCTGAAAAAAAAAGGGGCAAAAAGGCAACTTAGCCCCTGTACTCAATGAATTGTGGCAAATCATCTCCTGTACTCAGTGAATAGTAGCAAATCAGCCCCTATACTCAGTGAATAATGGCAAATCAACCCCTCAACTCATTGCATAGTTGCAAATTAACCATTTTTTGCATAGCTTACATAAGTTCTTTCTATTGGTCATTTTCCTAAAATAGATCTAAGGAGAACAAATTATTATACTTATAAAAAATTAATATAAATTTATAATCACTATCTACTCTAATTATTTACTC